GGAGTTTGCAACCCTATTAGTTAGGTTGCTTACTCTTTAAAATACCAGAATAGGGAGGATGGAGTAGATTTAAATTTATTAGATTGATCAGTATTGCTGAACTATGAAATATTTTGGGTGCAGTGTATTTTTTGGCATACAGGTATAACAGAATAGCTTTAGTGTTTTTTTTTTAAAACTTGAGTTTGAACTTATACAAAAAGCAGCGAGATATTAAAAAACAGATTTATTTATTAAAAAACACACTATATCGGATTCATATCGGTATTGGCCGATATCCAAATTTATGATATCGGTATCGGTATCTGACATAAAAAAGTGGTATCGTGCCATCTCTACTACAGATTTATCTGATTCCAGTTTTGGCCTGAAATCCATCAGACTGCCATCAAAAAGCATTTTGCTCTGTCTAAAAATACAGATTAAAATCCTGACTAGTACACGAAGACTGAATTTCAATACGACCCTCAGTGAGTTTGCACATAACATGGCAGGTCGCCACAAACAGAAAGGGGAAAAGCTGCCGTGCCTAAATGAACACATTTTAAAAGCAGTCTTTTAGTTTAGGCAGGAATCTAAAGTTGGAGTGTTTGTCAAAGAGTGCAAAAAAGACAAGACAGTTTGTTCCTATGAAGATAATTAAGAATTACACTGAAAATGGGTGGAATCCACCTAGAGGGTTAGAGCTACACTGTTTATAGATAAAAATACTATTTTTTTTCTTTTAATTTTTGCAGATATAACATGTATTATGAGCGTGATTTGAAATGAAAACTAACATTCAGCTTATGTATGGATTAGTTTAACTAACTAGTCTGCAGATTGGTTAGTTAAATAAAACTACAACAGACCTGAGCAGCAAATGAAAACAGAAACATACATATGCAGAAGCATCTAGTTCTGGTGCTCTAAAGTGACCGTTTATGCTGCTTCTTTTTTTTATTGAATCCACATAGCATGGTGCTGTGCTGTGCTGTGCTGACATACACATACACTTGCACATACTTTGTGTAAGTCAGCACAGCAGTCTCCCAGTTTAGGTAATCAAAAGTGCTTGAGTTGAAAGCAGCTGGACTTCTGTTCAGGTCCTTAAAAACATTTCAGCTCTCACCTGAAAGGCTTCTTCAGTTGTAACAGCTGATGGTGAGTGCAGGTTGTTTAAGTTCACATACCTAGCAATTCACACCTTGGCTCATGTGAACTAGAAAGAGAAAGAATGGTAAGAAAGGTATTTTATTTAAAAGTCTTTCCACTGAGCTTTTCTATACCCAGTTCCAATTCGCTTATCTAATTCAGGGTCATGGGGCACAACTGCCACTGGGCAGCACAGCCAATCAGGGTCAACATCCAAAGACAGATAACTTTTCATGATAACATTCATACCTGGGGCCAGTTTAGAAAAAAAAAAAATACTCAATGTGGATGTCGTGGAGTGTGGGAGGAAGCTAGAGAGAACCCACACATGCTAACTCAAGAAGTGCAAAGTGTGTACTTGTGTGGAGTCAAACCCCGGACCTTCGTGTTGTGTGGTGACAGCACTGACTATTCCACCATTGTGGCACCTATGTGATAAAAGAATTGGCAGCAGTCCTCAGTGATTGTTAGAATTTGGGGCTACAGCTCTGGTGAAATTAAATATAAATCAACTAATTAATGAAGACATGCAAAAATGTATTTGCCCAATTCATAACAAACTCAATTTAATTTCAATTTAAATATTTTTAAAGAAACAAAAAGATCTTTGTGTAGCCTGCAAAAATACATTTTGAATTCTTTATATAAAAACATCTATTTATATCTTAGTTTGATGACCCGTGCCTTAAATAGTTTGTCTGTCCCCAGAACACCTTCGCAGACCTGCTCACTCAAATCTCTCTATCATGATCGTCACCGGAGTCGATCTCCATGACTGTGAGACTCAAAGGAGGAGCCGCAAAGTCTGACCATTAACATGTTTTCATGTTGTTGTTTTTTTTTAACTTATTTTTGTTCTCAACTGAGTCCTCATCCGCTTTTGAGCGATGCTCTACAGCAGATGGTGTGTAGCATAAAACATGGCAGGGATTATGAATTCCTGGTGTATTAGATTGGGCCGTCCAATCCATGTGGCCGGGGGTTTATTCTACCAGGATGTAAACACTTTAAAGCTGTCAGCTGAACTGAGCACCAACTCTACGATCTGTGTACATAATGCGTGAAATTCATAAGAAATAAGAATAAAATGAACAATTGTATTTATTTCTCTGTCAATTTCCCCCCTGAGGCGGGTAATTGACAAGGGTGTTATTGTCCTTAACGATGGTGTGAGATGCGCTGGGACTGTTTATATAGAAAGAAACAAGAGAGTAAAATGGACTTAGTTGAATATTTCTTCCCGGAAACACTCAGCAGGTCAGTCTGCTGATGTCACTGCAAGTTTGTCAGCTTTGATGAAACATCATATATTTGATTTGATTTAATTGATCAAACTTGCCTCACTGCTCAGTTAGGCGTCTTCATCAGCAAGCATCAGAGACAGACATGAAGGGATGGCGGAGGGGGCAGAAGTAAACATGCTCACCTTACTGTCAAATTTTTCACCTCAGAGTGAAATTTGTAATAGTCGAAAAGTCTAATTAGACCATGTTAGTTGTGTGTGTGCGGGTGTGTGGGTCTATATATTGGCACAGTTTACAGCTCACCAGGTTGAGACTACTTCTGGAGATACAGAGGGAGTCAAACACGTGAACTTCAAGTTTCTGGGTGCACAAGAATAGTTTCTGGTGTTTCTGTGAGTCTGTGTGTTGGTTCTGGATCATGGAGGAGCTGGCCCGGGAGAGCATCAGCCTGCTGGCCCGATCGGCATCTCA